GACTTAGGTGAGGAAGGCTACACTTTCGCAGACTTCTCGGCACCAAACTAAGGATGCCTTAACCTGCGGTTGACCCATAACCAGCACACACCACATCTGTCACTGTGCCTCTCAGGAAGGGAGGGGGAAGGAGAATAAAGGATTGAGGAATACTTCTAATAGAAAAAAGGGGAACTCCGCATCCATCTCTGATGAGCAAGTTTGCTACACCCTGATCAGCCCCACCAGTGCAGCCCTCATAGGGCTCTCATAGTAGCTCTCACTGTCAAATTTGGATTTGGTGTATCAGTGCAGCCTATCAGTGTACCTGTCACAGCAGCCCATCAGCGCAGCCTATCAGTATACCCATCACAACAGCCCATCAGTGCAGCCATATCATTGTACCTACAGTCATCAATTCAGCCTATCAGTGTACCCATCACTCAAGCCATCAGTGCAGCCTATTAGTGTACCCGTCACCACAGCCATCAGTGCAGCCTATCAGTGTACCCATCACCTCAGTCATCAGTGCAGCCTATCATGGTACCCATCACAGCAGCCCATCAGTGCGGCATATCATTGTACCTGTCACTGCAGTCACACTGAGCAATCACCTGTGCAATCAGTGTAGACTATCAGTGTACCTGTTGCCGCAGCCATTAGTGCAGCCTATCATACCCCTAGATTGTCTGAAGGTGCTCCTTGGATGTTGGGCCTCTCTATGTGGTTAGGCTGTGAAAAAGTCTCGCACACATGGTATTACCACACTCAGTAGCAGAATGTATTTTGGGGTGTAATGGTATGTCCATGCTGTTTGTTAGAAATATCTTATAAATTGACACCTTTATGTAAAAAAAAGTAATTTTCCATTTTCTTTCCACATTTTCCAATAGATTGTGGAAAAAAAAAAAAAAATAACATGTTCCAAAAACTCATTATGCCTAATAGAATTTACATTGGGGTGTTTGTTTTACAAAATGGGTCATTTTGGGGGTGTTTCCATTGTACTGGTGCTCCAGGGCCTTCAAAAGTGTGATCGGTAGGGGGCGTGGCTGGAGTGGAAGCTGAATGGCTGCATAACCACACAGCTCTGCTGTACTCCCAGTGCCAGCACACAGCAGCGGTGAACCTGACACTCCAAAAGTGACCAGAGGAGAGGCAACAGCCCGGAGACCCTCAGGGAGATGACAAAGAAGAGGAAAGCTGAAAGCAAACTCCTGAAATTAACAGAGTTTCCCCCTTGTCTGGATCCCAGCCTACCCCAACATGGCAGCAGCAGCTCAGGATCCTCCTCCTCTCACTCAGCACACAGGCACGTCTCTGCAGCTTCTCCTGTGACACCTGTGAAGCAGAAAAACAGCTCCATATTACCGCATCCTGTATCTCCTGCTTTCTTTACTTCCTCTATTGAAAGCCCAGCAAAATCTAAACCTAGAATGGCAGATATTAACCCACAGCATGCTGGAACAGATTCTCATACTAATACTTAACATACTGCAAGTCATTTCTCAGATCCAATAGCTAACTTTCCTACTACTAGTCAGACTATTTCTGATACATTAATGAAGGAAATGCTCATCCATACAGTGAGATATAATTAACGCTATTGTCAGGGCTCCCGGTATGACCAGAGTTGTGTGGACTGACACAGGGAAACGCAGGCTTCAGGTATAGTACACAATATAATTTATTAAAGGTACAACACAATTCCAAATGCACAGTATAACAAAACCAAACCTCCAACTGATAACAGAATGTACACAGACAAGATCAGTCAGGGCTGGTGAGGTGGAGTGGTGAGGCAGGCCGAGTCCACAGCACAGATTTCCTCAGCCTGCTGTTCACCAGGGCCCCTGATGGTGGGGATGGACTTGGTGCAGACTGGTGGCGCGACCCCCTGAGTGCGTCCGGCTGTGGTAAAGAGTACTGGCAGGGGAGTGCGGGAACGGAGTCTGATGGGAAGAGGCAGGCAGACTTACTGAAGTGATCCGTGCGGGATGGATGGATCGTCGGGTGAAGTGAGTGTAGTCAGGCAGGCCGGGTCGGTATCGTGCGGGCAGCGAGGTATAAGGAGCAGGCGGAAGCGGAATCAGGAATAGCCAAGGTCAGGACAGGCAGAGTTCATGCAGAATCAGGATTAAGCAGAATCAGGATCAGGCAGGAAGCAGACAGGATGCAGGTACAGGGGCTCATGGGAAACATACACCAAGGCCATGAACACAGGCCTGGCCATTCCTTAAATACACCTGTGTAATCAGTTTCAGGTGCTGGCTCATTGTAGGAGTGAGCCTCTGGTTGCTGAGAGCACCCGCTGGCCAGCCCTGGTACTGCAGCCCACAAGGCAGGTGCGTCCCACCACTATTGGTGAGTCCATTCCTGACAGCTATGCAACAAATCAAATCATAGATTAATGTTCTTGTCGACAGAGTTGACCATGTTGAAACAAAAATGGGAGAATACGCCACTTCCTTTAACACCCTAGTAGACGCCCACAATGAAAGGGATGAAGAAATTAAATAGCTCAAAAATAAAGTCGCAGATCTGGAGGATAGATCACGACGTAACAGCATTAAAATACGAGGCATTCCAGAATCGATACAACCTGACCAATTGAGAGCATATACCCACGAGCTCTTTTTTTGCCCTCCTACCTGATTCTACAAACACAGATCTGACCATTGATAGGAGGGTTTAAGGAGGCAATGTATTCTATCTTCCAGATAAAATATCTTCAGATGTCTTGATGAGAATTCATTTTTTTCATGTCAAAGAAAAAATCATGGAAATTGCACACAAACCCCAACATTTGCCTGCGCAATTCTCCTTTTTACAGCTTTTCAAAGATTTATCTAAGTGCATCATGCAACTCATGAACAATCTCCTCCCAATATTAACAGCTCTACGAAACCACAAATTATATATCTTTGGGGTCACCCCCATTAACCATTAGCCGCCCGGCCAATGGCCGTTTGGAGGCTTCAAAAGTATTGCTGCATTCCGGGTGCACGCCATTTGGCTTGCTCCCGCACATGCGCAGTTTGCGCTAATGCAGAGCGACGCAGCAGTGCGATCTGTCACCGGCCGCGCACCTCAGACACGGCTGATGACAGATCCGAGTACCGGCTCCCGTTGCTGGTACCATGTGACCTGCTGTGACCAATCACAGCAGGTCACATGACAGTTGTATACAATGGATGGCATGAATGAAGCTAATACTAGTGCCTAGCTGTGAATGGTCACAGCAGGTCACATGCACATGTCATGTGATTAGCTGTGACCAAATCACAGCTAAGCACAAAAAAAAAAAAAAAAAAAAAAGAAAAGCTGAATGAATCGATTTCATTCAGGTAAATACTTGCTTATAGCAAAGTAATTCTTTGCTATAAGCAAATTGTGTAAAAAAAAAAAAAAAAATACTGATCACTTCCCCAAAGTAGTACAATGTTACTATGGTAACATTGTACTACTTTGGTCATAGTAAAATATGAAAAAAATCTTTAAAAAAATGTAATAAAAAAATTAAAAATAATAAAAAAATTAAAAAAAAATTAAAAAAAATATATATATATTTTTTTTTTTTCATACTGTCACCAGTCAGTGTCCCTGTTCACCGCCATGCCAGTTATATGATGACGCTGTACTGCACTGGTGACAGTATGTAAAAAAAAAATAGTGAAAATAATTTTTTTAATTTTTTCATTTTCCGAAAAATTATGACAAAAAAAATACAACTTCAAAAAACTCGCCATGCCTCTTATGAAGTACGTCGGACTGTCTACTCTGCAAAAAGGGGTCATTTGGGGGATATCTGTACTGTTCTGACATTCTTGGACCTCAAGAAATTAGATTGGCTGTCAGTACTTCAGGATTGATCAATTTTCAGATCTATACCATAGTTTGTGAACTCTATAACTTTCCTACAAACTAAATAATACATCCTAATTTGGGTTATTTTCACCAAAGACATGGAGCAGAATACATCTCGGCCTAAATTTATGAAGAACAATTATTTATTTGTAAACTTTTATAACAGAAACAAAGAAAATGTTTTTTTTTTTCAAAATTTTTGGACTTTTTTTGATAATTTAGCAAAAAATAAAAACCCCAGCGGTGATTAAATACCACCAAAAGAAAGCTCTAGTTGTGTGAAGAAAATGATAAAATTTTAGTTTGGGTACAATGTTGTATGACCGCGCAATTGTCATTCAAAGTGTGAGAGCGCTAAAACCTGAAAAATGGCCTGGGCAGGAAGGTGTAAAATTGCCCGGTATTGAAATGGTTAAAAACCCAAGTGCTTTAGTATTTTGTGATTGTAATCAATGAGACGTGGTACCTTTCACCACCTATGTTTTATATGTTTTGCCCTAATCAGATTAGTCACAAGAGCCAATAATTGAAAGGACTGGATAACCTAGACCTCTTCTTATATAAGGGTGGCCTGATAGCAACTATATTGTCAGTGTGTGTTGGAGCTGTTAGTGACAACTGACAATTCTGTGTAGGGAGAGGTTTTCTTTTTGGTCATTGGTACATTCTTCCACCTCTGCGACAGAATATTTCAGCTTGTGGACCTTGAAGTGTCCCACTACACAATGTGATATCGAATAATAAAAACAGGTCTGTAATGCTATCTGCTAGATCACAGATTTATTGTCCCTCCCTCTTAGATTGTAAGCTCCAAGGAGCAGGGCCCTCCTAACCCTCTTATTTTGATGTCACGATCAAGGGTCAGGCTCAAAGACCAGTTGCTATAGCAGTGGAAAGGCTCACACTGAAACCAGCAGGATAGGTACACAGGCAGGTCACCGTGGCAGAGCAGTGGACTTACCTGAGGTGCGGAGTCTAAGTACCAACCGGTGTTCACCAGCGCTCCTGATGGTGGAGATGGATTTTGCTGTGTGTTAGCACCAGGTCACAGTCCTCAGGATCACCCCACCAGGAAGTGAGCAAGCAGAGATCCAGTAAAATATTAAGCAGGTAAGGATCAAACGGAAGCGTTGTCAGTAAACAAGCCAAGGTTGGTAAGGAGCAGTCGCAGGTTGGGATCAGGCAGAAGCTTAGTCAAGAACAAGCCAAGGTCGGTAATGAGCAGTCGTAGGTTGGGATCAGCCAGAAGTGTAGTCGAGAACAAGCCAAGGTCAGTAATGAGCAGTTGCAGGTTGGGATCAGGCAGAAGCATAGTGGAGAACAAGCCAAGGTTGGTAATGAGTAGTCGCAAGTTGGGATTAGACAGAAGAGTAGTCGAGAACAAGCCAAGGTCGGCAATGAGCAGTCGCAGGTTAGGATCAGGCAGAAGTGTGTTCAGTAAACAAGCCTAGGTCGGTAATGAGCAGTCATAGGTTGAGATCAGGCAGAAGTGTGTTCAGTAAACAAGCTAAGGTCGGTAATGAGCAGTCGCAGGTTGGGATCAGGCAGAAGCCTACTCGAGAACAAGCCAAGGTTGGTAATGAGCAGTCGTAGGTTGGGATCAGGCAGAAGCATAGTCGAGAACAAGCCAAGGTTGGTAATGAGCAGTCGTAGGTTGGGATCAGGCAGAAGTGTGTTCAGTAAACAAGCTAAGGTCGGTAATGAGCAGTCGCAGGTTGGGATCAGGCAAAAGCCTACTCGAGAACAAGCCAAGGTTGGTAATGAGCACATCGTAGGTTGGGATCAGGCAGAAGCATAGTCGAGAACAAGCCAAGGTTGGTAATGAGCAGTCACAGGTTGGGATCAGGCAGAAGCGTGGTCAGTAAACAAGCCAAGGTCGGTAATGAGCAGTCGCAGGTTGGGATCAGGCAGAAGCATAGTCGAGAACAAGCCAAGGGTCAATAACGAGTGGTAGCAAAGTGTGGATAACAGCAGACAGGGCAAGGAGCGAGATACTGGCTAGAGAGCACAATAGTCTGGTAAACAGGAAGTGCAGAGACATGGCTTATATCAGGAAGTTCATGGGAGGAGCAAGGGGTTCAAGGTTCATGACAAACGAGGTCAAGGCAGGATCATCCAAATAATTGTCAAGACAGCTGTACAGCATTCCAGGTGGCTCAGCAAAAAGAAACATTTCCACTCACTGCAGAAGGCCGAGGTTCAGACCCAGGCTCTGACAATTGAACTGTATTGTTGCTGTATTGTCTCCCGTTATATTGTAAAGCGCTGAGCAAACTGTTGGCGCTATATAAATCCTGTATAATAATAATAATTGTCAAGGTAGAAGGCACAAACAGTCAGACATCAATATAGAAACCTTGGCTCACTTCACATATAAAGGTTTCTATACTGATTTCAAATTGTCACATTCTGACTAAGAGTTCAAACACTGCACAGGATACCGCAGTGTAAAATTGTCTAGCTGCAGGAAAGTTTTAATCAGGGATAACATGCCTAACTGGTGTATGCCTAACTTTTATCTCATCAGTTGGGATAGAGGGTTGTGGTGACTGATGGGAGGTGGTTTAGGTGCACGATGTTCTTGCACATAGTCTTTCAAATGATGCAGTGGCATGCTTCAAACAAAAGGCAGCTTAAAGAACATAGTAGCACTAACACGTTAATGTTCTGATTTATGCACTGCCATAGGGGGCATGTACCGATAAAAAATAGAATGAAAAATAAATAATAATCGCTACCTACACAGAATTGTCCTCTGTCCCTAACAGCACTGACAATATAGCTGCTATGAGCCCACCCTGTCATTGATAGGTCATCCATTCCTTCATCCGTTCCTTGTACACTCCATTAGAGGTTGCTCCCTATTTTGGTGGAGAACCTGCAAGCTTTTCAGCCAAAAGTTTGGGATTCACCACAGTCAGGGATTCACCACAAATCTATGGTAGCTGCTGAACCTCATCTCTACACCTGTATTTATCACAAACAGAGATTGAGTATCTGGTTGTCCGCCCCTGTATTAGAGATGCTGGGTGCAATAACTAAAAGCCAGTTATATACACGCACACAATCAACATGTAGTCATGCAGGTACCTTTTAATCAGCATTTACATCATTACATATTCTACGCATGTGAAAAACCATCTACCAAATGAACACCTGCATAGGCACATCATAGCATTCACCTGGCACTCCAAGAAATAACAGAATCCAACTGCAATATTCTTGCATTGTCAAGACCTCCACTTTTATTATCACACGGTACACAGGAGGATATATGTTATAGTCATCACAATCTGCATAATAATACACACCAGTAAGAGTGTGAGCATTACAGCATGAAATAGACACATCATTTGACAGCGTCACAGCATAGAATTATTACGTTACCGAAGCTATGTGGAAGCTGGGAGGAACAAATCCCATCAGAACCAAACTGCCCAGGGGTCACAGAGAAGCTGTAGGTGTGACCAGTTGATGAGCCCACATAGGCTTGGCAAAAATTACAGCATCAGAGTGTCCTCTGGCCACTAAGGTGGGGCTTCTACTGGTCTTGCCCAGAACTCCGCCTTATAAACCCATTTTCTGGAAGCTGTCTAATACTGCGTGGCACCACACCCACCACAGGAGGAGCTAGGGTTCCGCGAGGATAAAGAGCCACGTTCAACCACCATATTCGTTATCTGAAAAGTCACACTTTTGCTTCTTATCTATCCCAGACTTAAGACTAATGTGTGATAGCGCTGAAAGCTGAAAATTGGCCTGGACAGGAAGGGGGTGAAAGTGTTCGGACTCGAAGTGGTTAAACAGGTTTTTATCTCCTAATGTGAGGTTACTAAATGTCATAAACACGTTTCATTCCATTATCAAGCTTTTATCTTGCTCTCAGCAGAATATCTTGTGACTTTGTTCCTTTGACCTAGAGAAATGATACATCAGTCACCTCTCATGCCCCTGGCATTTGGGCAACAATGTTTTATTGTAAAAATTACCCAAGAAACAAAGGATCCAAGGCCAACACATATCATAGGCATTACAGTCCCCAATATCAATACAAATAAACATGACCCCCTTTGGGACTTTAATGCAGCTTGCTATTTTGTCTAACATAGCATCACACATACTGTATATCCATGAATCATTTTTCTTGTGTATACTTTTTGGTACAAAAATGTTTTTATAAAATTCCTTTACAACTTAAAATCATACTGATAGCTCTGATGACTGTTCCAAAAATATAGTCCCTTGAAAAGTTACAGCAATAGAATGTTCCCAAAAATGCCCAACGCATTTGAGTCATTTCAATTCAAGATCTTCTTCAGGGGTCATGAAAACCAGAGGAATCTACAGCAATCATTGGACGGTTGATGTGCATCAGAGCAGTCCTAAAAACACTGACGTTCGAAGTGGAACCGTATGTTCCAATATTCAATGTTGTGAGCAGTCAGGTGGACAAGAGTGGTCACATGGATACTCAAACCAAACAAAAATGAATTATTGTGGCGCCAATTGAGGGTGATGTAAATTCAGAAGTTGACCCCCTAGGGGGTTTTACAGCTGCCCCTAAAAAGTGAAAGTGACACTTGTATGTGGACTGCTAGTGAATATATTATATAAATGCACCCTATAAAACCAATAGGATAACTGAATAGTGATTATTTGTGAATGAATACTAATACAGTATATAGATATCAAGCAATTCTTAAACCAAACAATGCACAAAGCAATGGGAGCAACAGCTGAATAATTCTATTTGCATAAAACGTCCTTCTGCTTCCACCATGTGCTGAGTAACTTCAAAGTTGTGACAGTCCTTCTTAAACCTCAATATTAGTGACATAGAAATCCATGTGTCCACACCTCGGTGCAAAGGCAAACAAATGGCTCACTCTCCAGACCTATATGACCCCCATTACTGTGGTCATATATCGCATTGTGTTTTATAAAACCAGGATATCCTCTAGAGGTTCCTCCACGTATGGTCACCATCACCCGCACTTCATAGTTGGATAGCCAAGAAGACTGCTGTAAAATTGCCAATAAATTCCCCAAACGATAATTGGAGGGATTGGGACAAGTAATCCTTGCTGTTTATGCCATACCATGGTCAGCAGGGCACAGGTGGGTAGGTGACCGGACAGTGAGTGGTAGATAGACGTAGTTTCTGGATACCTCGTAATATTGGCAGCAGAGGAGGAAAACAAACTGCCTTCCCATATTTTCATATAAAGGGTGGAACCAACAGGCAACAAGAGCCAAAATATTCCTCAGCAAAGGATGGCACAAGCTCCAATTGACTGGAAAGCATCCCCAGTCTCCTCATCTATAATGACAAAACCAAATGGAGTCTTATCTAAGGAATAGGGGAAATGTAGTCCAAGCCCGTAGACAGCTGTCCATAAATGCCTCCCTCAACCAATCCACCACTCTATCCAATGTCTCATGGATTGCCACCTCCATCAAACAAGCCAGATCTGTATTTATACAATAGTCATGTTATAAATATTATTATTAATAATAATAATAATAATAATAATAATAATTATTATTATTATTTATTTCTTGGCCATCAAACTTCTCATTTTATTGCTTCATATACAATATGCCATAATGGTATTTTTATAATCTTCACTTTCTGCAGTGCTGACTAAGATGAGTTTTGTGTATTTTATGTCTTGCCTTTTTTTTCCTACTCTATAAGCAGATTTATATTCCAGTCTATTAGTAATAAATAACAGCAGTATTCTTTATAAGCCTCACACTCTCCCAGCCTTCAGCTGAGCCATGAAATCAGTGTCAGGACCCAGAACTGCGGTCAGTGATATCGAGGTGGGAGAAGAGGAAGAAGTCATTGGGGTCTATGAGAGACTCGACCATGTTGTCTTCAGAGGTCCACCTAGAATATTGTGGTTGATGACTTTGTGTGTGGCACACAACTCTGCTCACCCCTGTGATATGGCTATGAGGAATTATACATTCGAGTACAAGTATTCTCAGGAAGGAGACATCATTATAGGAGGGATATTCACTGTGCATTCTGTAGTGACAGAGTGGTATCAGGACAGAGATCTTGTTAGCAATCTCATGTGTTCAGGGTAAGTGAAATATGAAGTCCAAAGCTTCCAATCTGATCTATAGAGCTGCGTCTTTAGGAGATTTGTGTGATAATGTGCAGAACTCATACAGTCTGTTATACTGCATTTATATGAGATTAAAGCCTATCCTTCAGTGTGTTCATGAAAACCAAGTAGAGCTCATTCACATTTAAGTGTTTCATTACTTTATGTCAGTATTTCTGTGCTCAAAGCGGCACATTGTTTTCAATGGAAACGTTGTTTTTTTATTGTAGGCCTGTCATTCTTAGGAATAACTCACTGAAATCTGACCGAACAAGAGTCTAGTAAACATCCCGGGGATGATAAAACTTGAGACATGAAATTATAAATTATTAATATAATAAATAATCCAAAAAAATAATAAATATAATAATACATTTATTTCAATAATATAATCAAACCAAAAACACTGAAAGGTGAAATATAGCGCCAAGTTTGCACATCGCTGAGCTCAGTCGCAGAATCGTTTTCAGTGTCTGATGAGGAATTTCCCCCACGAATCATTATCACTCAATTCTGCAAGTGGTTCTGATTTACTATCGCTGTTCTCTAGCCGGTCTAAAACCGCGTCTGACCTAAAGGGACGCTTTTTGGATGCCATGGACGTTTCTCAGTTTCCAGGCAGAAAGAACAGTAATAATGCAGGCAGGGCGCCGGACAAATCACTCGGGACACAATGTATGTGAAATGGTTTGATACAGGAATGGAATACTATCAGATTTTAGTGTATTTAGTGAATATCATATTTTAAAATGTTTAAATTTCCTGCCGATTCCAACCCCCGAACGTCCCATATGTCCCGACGCTCGCAGGGAACGGAACCCAGAAGACGGATCGGCATCAGCCGGAGGACATGGCTGGGGACGCAGCGGGAGGACAGTGCAGGAGCGCAGGACAAGGTAAGTGCTGGAGGGATCCTGCTTTTTGTTACAATTTTTTTGGAAAAATTTAGAAAAAAGAAAAAAAAAAATCACAATTTTTTTTTTTAAATATTGTCACCAGTCCAGTACAGCATTATTATATAACTGGTGTGGCGGTAATCAGGGACACTGACTGGTGACACAATGTAAAAAAAAATGTAAATAATAATAATTAATTTTTTT